TCAAAGGATCGACAAAACTAGCAGAATCTAGTATTTCCGTCAGAACAACTCACGTATGTCTTCCTGAGACACACGTGAACGTGACGGGACGGTGCAGCTGGCTGCCGCAAATGCACAAGTCAAAGCTTTGCTCACTACTAGATTCTTTTGACAGAAACGCCAAAACGCATCTGGCCCCTTTTCATTGCGATAGCAATTATATGGACAGCCTAATCTGGTTTATTGCCGTCGCCGCCATCATTCACCGTGTATGTATAAGTAGCTATATATATGTGAACACTAAGAAAAGAAAAAAAGCCGCCCGCACTCGACGCCCAGCTCGTCGCAACGCGCCGACAAAGTGACCCACAAAGGTCACTTCGGTATCTGCACAGGCGCTGTTTGCGAAAAGAGCCCGTTTTTCGTACACAGCGAGTTATAACTGCGACACTTGTTGGTCTGTACTCATCCGTACCTGTGATTATGTATCGTGCATCGTTTTTGTTTGAACAGCGCATTACGTGTCGAGCGGTAAACGTTAGTTAGCTCTCATCATGTGTGTATCGTTTTCGTGCATCATTTGTGCATGAGCAGCAAGCTGCACGTTTCAATCTGCTTGCCGTTCTCAGCGTGACATTCTAAATTGTTGCTGTCACATACATTGCTGACACGCACTGTAGAAGACGGTGCGTTTGCCGGTCGCACGCATACTCCGAACCTTCGAGTACACTGCTCTCGGCCTTCGTTTGACAGTTTCCGTCCTAAAGTTCGTATCACTCGTCGCGATTAGCAAATGTGTTTGGAACGTTCAAATTTAGGCTCGATAGACATAGTGCGATTTGCCTATGAAATTTCACAAATTCGTATCTGCCGCGGTTTCGCATCACTGAGATTCTATTACAAATTATTAATGCCTCTTAAACTCATTTATAATAAAATGGCCACGGTTTCGCATCACTGAGATTCTATTGTAAATTATTAATGCCTCTCAAACTCATTTATAATAAAAAAGGGGTAGGTTCAAAGTATTGAACTGCTTTTTTGTCAATGTGGCCAGAATCACGCACAAAAATTTCGATTTCCGGGAAATTTTAATGGCCACCGTAGGAACGAAAGAAATGGTCAAAATCCGGGAGTCTCCTGGCCAATCAGGGAGACTTGGAAGGTATGCTATTGTAGGAGATGGTCCCCTACAGGTAGACTCTCGCGGGCTGTATTTTTTCAAGACGATAGTCTTTCTTGGGGACTTTCGACGAAAAAAATTTGGTCTGTCCGTCTGCCTGTACATTTGTCTGTCCACCCTAACGATATCTCAAATGGCACCAAACGACCAACCCCATCCGCAGCGCCCACCAATATTGCTCAAGGTTTAGCATTCATAGTTGTGCGATTGTCAATTTAAAAAAGCATATATTGCGCATATCTGAGGCACCATAACAACACGTTTAGTATGTCTGCCTTTGTACTAGAAGAGGCACACACAAGTAACTCTAAGGACTGTAGCGGTTATGGCGCTGCGCCGACAGTGCAACGCGATGCTCAAGGAGATGTTTCCAACGCTTTGCTACGACGACACGGTGATGGCACCTGCCCGTCGCTTTGCATTCTACACCTTATCACCTCCGAGACTAGCGCGCATCTTTCTCCGCGGTCACGCGCGCCTTTGTTTTGGAAGATAACTGCCAGATGGCACTTGTGTCTAACGTGCCTAGGTGCGCTTGTTCGCCTCCGCTAAACGCTCGAGGCACTCTAACGCAGCGCCTTCAGAATACCATTCACCGACTTTTTTATATTGAATTTTTCATATGTCCAACTAATTCACGATCCCCTTTGAGTTCGATATATCCATTTCAAAATACCGACTGTGAAACTCCAATTATACAACTTTCAGGGGACATGCGAAAATTGGGGGACCCTTAAGCTTCGCCTATAAGAATTGAACGCGATAGCGAAATCCGGCCCCTAGTGTACCCTTCAATCGCTAAGTGCATACTTATTAATATGTTTTGTTATATACACACGCATGCACACAAACACGCACACACACACACGAGATTGGACCAGCGCATGCTATGATCGCCGAATGGGCTCATTTTCGTCGTGACACCTGTCGAACAAAATGTGTTCAAGGGGCCCTGAAACACTTTTTCACGTAACCATAGAATGAATTCACTAGAAGAGCTTATTGCCTTACGAATTCAACGCCATAAAAATTTTAAGAATTCGTCCAGTGCTAGTGGAGTTACAAAGGTTTGCCGCATGCTGCAATTGCATTATCTCTTGTCTCGTCCTGACGAAAGCGCTGGAAGCTAAGCAGGGAGGGGTGGCAGGGCAAAGAAACTACCGCGCCTCGTGACCTTGAGCACCTTTTTTTTTTGAGCGCGCAGCTTTTTCAGTGTGATCGTGCATGCACGCGTGGACAAGTAGCGGCCTCTCGCGGCGATCTCAGTAACTTGACTTTTCGGCCGACGCCGACGGCGGAATTTCTGCGACACGAGCTGTCTAACGCTATCTCGATAAAACCATCGCATAATACGGATGCCGTACCATCATACTTGAGTCCGAGAAATTCCTGCGAATGGAAACAAAACCGAAACCGCGTCACCAACAGCCTTCCATCTGAAAAATTAGACAAAGTGTCATAGCCATCACATAATAGCGATGAACCATGAGTTAGCATGGAATACCATTGAGCGCGACTGAGCTCTGTGTGTTGCAATTCATTGCATTGTGAAGTGCAGCTAGACACCTCCAGCTGTTATAATGAACAAGGGGTCAAGTGACACTTACTTTGCACAGTGGAAACAGCTGCGACAAGCCTTTTTGCACATTCAAGCCTGTGACTGCGAGTACCAGAAACAAAGGCACTGTACGTCAACCACGTAAAGTTGACACAGACCAAACATCTGACAATATCAGAATCACAGGAATGAGATTTTCGGCCAGCTGAAGCAACTCTCGAGTGAATAGAGCGTGTGTAGTATAGTGAACTAGAATATACCCTAGTGGCACGACCACCAGGCCACGACTTCTGCATCAGCGGCCCAAAACAACACGGACAGCCACTATGATTTATCGTGGCGCCACTGTGCCTTTTCATGTGCACGAGTGCATGCCGGCAGCGTGTTCTCTGGGTAGTGCGGGCAGCGCGGGAGCCACTCAGTGCGTGTGCGTGAGTATATCTATGAGTTTGGCGCGTTGAGCCAACGCCACATAAAGAAACTTCATCAACGCCTGGAAGCTCTACTGCATACGTCAACGTGGCAACGACACTGGTTGCGTTGAGCGGCTGTGGTGACTCACAACACTACCGACACTGGCATTTGCTTAGGCGCTTCATTCCCTGCAGCATTACTGCGCTTTGAAGCTGGACTTGTATCGGACTCTTCACGAGGCACGAAGCACCACACTTGCAGACCCAAGTGCGAAGCTTCGTGTCATTATTTGGCTTAAACTTCGCTGACGACGTGACAAACGTCAAACTTTGCAGGCAAGAACAAAAGGGCTAGAGCACACGCGACGATCTGATTCTTTGTAAAGAACGAAGCACATCGCTCATTGTTTCCGCGAATGGGTATTTCACGCAACAACAGTACACACCACAACAGTCGAGCTTGTCGGACGCCACAACCACAGACTGCTCGGAGCAGCAGCTAACAAGCACACGCGTTGGTCCTTGAAAATGCTAGACCAAGCATATTGCGTGGCGATTTTTTGTCATTGTAGCTACGCTTTTCGCGCATCGTCACCAAGCACTGTCGCCAAGCACATCATGCACCGGCTTCAAGGACTCCACAGTCAAGCACTTTGTGGTCAAATAGAGTGCAGTCAGTAAGCACTAGTGATGCAAGTTAGACATGCTTGAAGCCGTGCTTCAAATTGTCGCAAGCCTGTACAAATGTTCTGAAGCAATGAAAACCTCGTAAATTAGCGTTTCAGTGACTGGCCATATGATTATGCATTTTACAGGCTATAATAACAAAGGATGTGTATGAAGCAGAAGGACCAATTTTTATATCCCCGACTTGCATCAATAAATAAACTGTTAAGAAATTCCTGTGCCACCAGTGTCTTGGCCATCAACTGTTCATCACATTGAAAAAAGGCATAAGCAGTGATACTGTGAGCCATTCTCTGCCACAGTAAACCTCTCAATATATAAATGTTATTAATTATTAGTAATCATGAAGCAAGACTTAATTATGCTAATAAAAGCATGAATGCAAGAAAAATGTGTAATTATTTCAGTATATGGCTTATTTGGTAACCGATCAAGAAATCAAACTTAACCAAAAAAACCTAAGATTACAGTTTTTAGGAGTTTTTTATATAAGGTTAAACTTTACACGCAGTTTTCTGAATACTGAAATACGGAAATAAAAAGGACACTAAATGCACACCAAAATAAGAATAAAATTCCCAAGAGGCACCACATCACAGAGGACTGTGATCTTGGCGATTTTAGACGTACAAAAGAACTTTCTGCCCGCCTGCTGAGTTTGTACAGCCATTTTTATTGTGTAACTGCTTGGCCTATATTGAGACTCTGGTGTTTTCTTTTTGGTCGTGTTCCTTAGACTACTGTGTATGTCGCAGCTTTCTTTCATACGTCAATGATGTCTTTAGTAGTTTATCCCTGGAGAAAGCCTAATGTGAAGATAGCAAGAAGAAATGAAATGCAAGAATTTTATGCAGCAAAACAATAATAATAAACAAAGCAGGCATGTCATGATACTCAGCATGCATCGAGCCTTGTAGCAAATATTCTATCCAGCCTTCAGTGCATTTTTTTTTTTTTTAACTTTCCAGGCATGTGCCAAGTGCTAAGAATTGTAAAAAGTAAAAAATTAATGTAATAAAAGTTCCTGAGCTATCTTTATAAATCTTTTAAAAATAAAGCATTTGGGAGACATGCTGAATATTTGTGCCAATTTTCATCATCTGTCAAGTTTTTAAAAGAAAGTTGGTCTTCTGAAATAAATTGTGCCTACAGCACTCGTCAATTGACCCAGTGAGCTTACCCGACTGTGTTTCCTTGTGGCAGGGCACAGGTCGGCAGAATGCAGCCTTGGTGACCATCTGAGGTCGACACAACACCGCTTTATTCCGAAGCAGTTTGGGAAAGGGCAGCTGGATTATCACCTCCCTTTCAGACTTGCCGGCTGCCACAGTGGTAGCATCCTTGGCTGAGGGAGCGGCCAAGGCAAGGGTGTTGGATGTCGTGCCAACTGGCAAACTCACGGCAGTTGCTGTGCTTGAAACAGCAATGCTTGGTGCTCGTGTGACGACTTTGGGCGCAGCATCCATGGTGCTGTTTGATGGGGTAAGCACTGTAGCATTCAACACCTGTTTGGGGAGATTCAAGTTCAAATGAACAAACATTTTTTTTTGAACACCCTTAAGGCAATTGCATTGAAGGGAGGAGTGGGTGAATACATTACAACAAGTCAGGAAACTGCAGTACAAACAGCAGAACAGAAGTAGCTATAACCTCTACAAAACAAGTAATACGGTTGAGAAAGGTCGCAATATTCCTGTTGCGACGAGAAAAATGCGGTTGAGGTTAGCATAGGTGACAATTTTTAGCATTCATTTAAAAAAAGAATACATACATTGGACAAACGAATTTCACAGATATAGATGCAACGTTATACAGAATCAAATGGCCTAAAATATAATATTAGACACAGCGGTACGAAACACATCTGGGTTGCAAATTGTAGCATTGTTAGAAGGAAGGTGGTTCCAGTCGCTAGAGCTATGGGGAATGAAGGAATGGAAAAAGGCCTTAGTGTTGCAAGAGGGAACGCCAACTTTATGAATATGATCTAAACGCGAAGATATGTATGAAGGTGGAGTAAGTAAAGCATGGCGAAGCATATTGTGTGAGAATACTTTATAGAATAAGCACAACCGTGCAATTTTGCGACGTGACGTCAGATATGTTAGACCGAAGTTAATTTTCATTCCGGATACGCAGGTTGCTCGCTGATAGTTAGAAAAAATGAAACGTGCAGGGTTGTTTTGAATCATTTCGAGTTGATGACTAAGAATTTCAGTACATGGATCTCATATCGGTGATGCATAGTCGAGTTGTGAACGAACAAGAGATTTGAAAAGGACGAAGAAGGGGCGGAATGAAAATTTCGTCTTATGTAGCCAAGCATGCGGTTGGCTTTGTTGGTGATACTTTCAATGTGAAGATTCCAAGATAAGTCAGTAGTGATATGAATGCCCAAGTATTTAAAAGAAGTAACCACTTCAAGAATGTTACCATCAAGGTAATACGAGTGTGCGTTAGTAGTGATGCGAGAAACTCGTATTGATTTGCATTTTGTAGTGTTGAGAACCATCTGCCAAGTATTGCACCAATGGGATATCGCATTAATGTCAGATTGGAGTGCGTGTATATCACTATCATTAATAATTTCCCAAAAAATGACACAATCGTCAGCAAATAAATGTATTGAAGATGAGATACATTTGGGCAGATCATTGATATAGATAAGAAAAAGTAACGACCCAAGGACGGTGCCTTGGGGTACACCTGAGATAACCAGGGTTAGAGATGAATTGGTGTCATTAACTGTGACAAATTGCTGGCGATGTACTAGGAAACACTCAATCCACTTTAATATGCTAGTATCGAGACCAATATTTCTTAGCTTGAATAGGAGTAACACGTGTGGAACTTTTTCGAATGCTTTAGCGAAATCGAAATAAATGCTATCAGCAAATGAACGGTTGTCAAGAATAGACTGAAGTTTGTGAGTAAACAAAATTAACTGGTTTTCACACGAAAAAGACTTCCGGAATCCATGCTGTGCAGGGTCAAAAAATGAATTCGATTCGAGAAAGTTGGCAACATGAGAGTAAATGATGTGTTCCAAAATTTTACATGATATGCTAGTGATAGATATTGGCCTGTAATTAAAGGGGGACTGTCTGTCTCCAGATTTCAAGACTGGTACCACTTTCCCTACTTCCCAATCAACAGGGATTTTACTTTGTTCTAAGGATTGTTCAAAAAGCTTCGCTAGGACAATAGTACAGTTTTGTTTAGTACTTTTCAGGAATTTGGAATTAATACCATCTACACCGGAACTGGAAGAAATTTTAAGGGAGTCAATTATTTTAATTATTCCATTAGGGTCAATCTGCAGAGGGTACATCGGTATGTAGTCGTGGCTTTTAAAACTGGGTAGACAAGAAGTGGGATTGTTGCAGAGTGCATCACAAAACATTTTGTTTAGCACACTAGCACATTCTTGATGAGGTATAGGTTCACTGTTTGTGTCAGTTAGAGTAATGCGAGAGCTGTCAGCTGGGTTAACGACGCGCCAAAATTTCCTCATATTATTTTGCAAAAAACTAGGCATCGTGTTGGTCAGGAAGTTTTGTTTTGCAGTTTTGACAGCAGTAACATATTGATTCACTGCTGAACGGTACAATGACCATTTATAACTACTGCGAGATATTTTGGCGCGGTGGTATGGACGTTTTTTTCAGTTAGATAGTCGTTTTAGGTTGGAGTTATATCAAGGAGCCGTCGGATTACACGTTATTTCCCGAGTAGGTATATAGCGTTCTGTCAATTCAATGATCTTGTTCTTAAATAATGCCCAATTGCATTCCAGTGATCGCTCATCGAATCCGTCTAAGTAATCAATAAGAAATAAATGCAGTTCACAATTAATTTCTGAGAAGTTGGCATTGTGATAATTTCGAATGGCTTTTCGTTTTTTAGAACATTTTTGCACTGGCATTGTAACGATCAAATTCAAAAGGACATGATCACTTAATTTGGGCATATATGTTATTTCCGAACAGAGATCTGGGGAGTTTGTAAGAGCTGAATCTAATATATTTGCGGTAGTTTGCGTAACTCTTATAGATTCTGATACTACTTGTGTGAGGTTAAAGGCTAAGCAAAAGTCTATAAATTGTTGGGTACTAGATGAAAACGGTCTTGGAAAAAAAAGGTACTGCGGCCGACCAGTCAATGTCCGGGTACTTGAAATCCCCCAATAAAAAAATAACACATGTCGGGTATCGGGATACAACTGCGTTCATCGCGTTGTGAAGGTCAGCAACGAATGTAGCCAACGAATTAGGTGGACGATAGCAAGCACCCAAAATTATCCTACGATGTGACAGCTTTGCAGATATCCACACGATTTCTAAGCCAGACGGTATGTTGAAAGCAAACGATTCGAGTTGTTTTTTCACAGCCACGAGTACACCGCCTCCCTGCCTTGCCTCCCTATCACAGCGGCAAAAATGGAACTGGTTATGAGAATCCAAGATTTCACAGTCGCGTATATTCCTATGGAGCCATGTTTAAGTTAAGACTATAATATCTGCAGATGAAAAAATAATAGCCGCCGACACTTCTGTGCGCTTGCTAATTATAATTAGGCTTCTGATATTTGTGAACAAAATAGAAGCGTGCGGTGAATGAGCCCCAGTACACCTACCCCTCGCTTTCTGTTATCTCGGTGATACAGTAATTTGTTCAGAAAGACTGGCAGTCACTTCCTGAACATCGCTTTTGTGTGAACGAAGCATGGCTGCCTCAAGCACCGTATCGGTTACGGTGTTTTCGGCTATGGTGTTTTACGGCGCTTTCCTCTGGACACATGTCCAGAGCGCTGCCTTGTAACCTCACTTCAAGGTTAAATGAACACACAGTAAACTATGCGGGGATGGAGGGCAAAGACAACTGAAAATGCGATTTTTTCAATTTTCATGGCACAACATTCTAGCCTTACTGACAAATGCGTCCAGGAAGTGGCAAGTTTGCGCAGTGGAAAGCATTTGAAAATGGCCCGAAACGTGCCTAATCCTGTGACTGCAACGCAGCAACTTGACCTTTGAACGGCATTTTCTCTAAACACTGCTTTTCGTCAGAAAAAGAACATTTTGCTCTGTAATCACTGAAGTTATAAAATTCAAACTTTTCTGATGTTTTCTTCTGAATACCATGTGCCCTTTCTGAAGAAAAAGAATGTTGTTGCCACCAGAATTGTATTTTTATGAAACTTTTTAAAAAAGAAAACAGCCCTAAAATTCTAGTCATAAAACATCTACATTTTTAACTAAAAAACGGTCATGGCTACAATTATTGCATTGGTTCAGTAGGATACCCTGAAAATATGTAATAACCAGTAGAGATTTCCCCTTTTACATGCAAAATCTTTTTTACAAATATTCCTTCAAAAATAAAAAGTCAAATGATTTTTATTGTTTTGAGAACAGTTTTGTATTTTCTCGCCAAAATCACGGAGCATGTAGTAATGTAATTTGCTAAACTTTGTAAAGTTCGCTTAAAAAAATTAACAGAGCTAAGGGCAATATTAGTTGCACCACGGCCACCTGGATCGGGCATGCACGGCAGTGTTCCTCCGGTTGTCTCATTTAGACAGAGGAGGCTTAATTGCAAGAGGGAGCATCACCGCTGCATTCACCGCTTGGCGACGCGCGCCTAATATCCATCCTTTGTTGTCTATGCAGGATGGTTTGCGGAGCTTGAAGATGTCACTTGACAGAAACCGCAGACCGCGGGTTAGCTGTGCACCTTATTTTTTCCTCGCCCCCCAACCACCTCAAATAAAACAAATAGCATTGATGGAAGCTGGCACTATATTCTTTCTTTTTCTTCGTGCCCCAGCTGCTGTCGTGATGATAGTGACCGAAGTAAGCAAATCCATGAGCCAGTTTTCAAAAAAAATTTTGGCGCCCTCCTGTGCAGCACATGAGCAGAAAGTACACGGGAGATCGAACTCACCCGATAGATTTATTAAATTTGTTTGTTGTTGTTGAGTGCTTCCAGAAGTGAGAAATGATCCGAAGAATAGCTGAGCTGCATAGTGGAGGTTGGCGGAGATACCTTGAAGTACTGAGGCCTTCAAAGCGCAAGCTTACCTGCTTTACTTGCAGAAAACTTTTTTCGGCCATGATGGGAAAGCTACAAGAGCGGAGCTTCCTACGTGCTCCAAGGCGAAGTAGTCTGGTTTGGCATGCGTCTCATAACTTTGTAGAAAGTGATGACTGAGCGCAACCAGCATTAATTTGCATACACACACAGATGACGCTTAGCATTTGAGGTACAAGTAGAAAGCGGGTTTCTTTTGCAAGTGGAAAAATGGAGTGACCCCAACGAACCCACACAAACACGCATTAACGAACACACACACACACACACAGACGAGTACACTCGCATACAAATGCACGTGCATGCCCACACACGCACATTACATGCAGAAAGGAATGCACACACAACTGTACGCACTAGACCCCACACAAAAGTGTGGGTGCACACACAGACACATACACATATGCAAACA